CGTGTTTTAATTTGATCGCTTCTTGGCAAAAAGGCTTGCCAATTGTCCAGTGTTTCTTTCGTCTTTTATTCAACAATTTTTTATTTTATTTTTTTTGTTTTTTTAGCTAATTGTTAATTTCTTCAAAAAAATGTTTTATTCAGGAAAACAAGNTTTTTTTTTTTTTAGCTAATTGTTAATTTCTTCAAAAAAATGTTTTATTCAGGAAAACAAGATTTCTAGGCCCGAAGAACTCACCCTAGTGCTGCAGCAGGCCTTGGTGGGGGCTGCTGTTGTTGTTGTTGCAGGAGTCATGCGGCGCTATGATAGCCGCGCTGGTTGTTGTTGTTGTTGGTGTTGCGCGCTGCTGTTCTTTGTGTTGAGCGCTGTTGCTGTTGGTATTGCGGGCTGGTGTCCCCGATGCTGTGGCGGGTGTTGTTATTGCTGGTGTTGCGCAGCGTTATAGTATCCGCGCTGGTTGTTGCTGGTGTTGCGCGTTGTTGTCCCCGCTGCTGTGGCGGGCGTTGTTATTTCCGGTGTTGCGCAGCACTATAGTAGCCACGCTTGTTGTTGTTGGTGTTGCTGTTGCGCACGCGGTTGTTGCTGGTGTTGCGCGCTGTTGTTGTTGGTGTTGAGCGCTGTTGCTGTTGGTGTTGCGCGCTTTGCTGTTGGTGTTGCGCACGCGGTTGTTGCTGGTTTTGCGCGCTGTTGTTGTGCAGCGCTATAGTAGCCGCGCTGGTTGGTGGCGTTGTTGAGGTGGCCGCGCTTTTGGCGGTTAAGACCGTACTCTGGCAGTGCTTCCGCTGTCGCCTCGGTTGCGGGGCGGTTGGTGCGGCCGCGCTTTTGGCGGTGTGTAAATACCGCGCTGTGGCGGTTAAGGCCGTGCTCTTGGCGGTGTTGCTGCTGTGCGTTAGAAACACTATTGTTGTTGTTGTTGCTGTTGCTTCTCCTCTGCGCCCGGTGTTAGAGGTNCATAGGCATATTATAATCCTCTCCAGTTGGCTCTTCAGCTGAACCCAATTGTTAGTGGCCGCCATTGTCGTTCATATCGCTTAGTTACGACTTTTCTGGCTGAGTATCACACTTAATTTAGGGTTTACCCAACCGATCGCGACAATTCCACAAAAAAAAATCGAAAGTATCGATAATTCTTCAGTCCGCGTACTGAATAAGAATATACGCAAAAGAATTACAAAAAACAATCAAAATTTATTTTTAGTAAATAAACATATCAAGTGGGTTAATTAAATATATACGTGGTAAATATACGTGTAAGCAAAAGTTCGGTTGGGTATAATTTTATATCAAAGTCAATGGGAATGCTGCCCCCCCTGACATTAGGAAGGCACAATGTAGTCTACGTGGAAAATTAAGGTACAAAAAAAAACACAAAAGTCGCTGTGGTCCAGCACACCCAACCGCAATGCAAAGCCGGCATAATGGAATGCCCCTCCAGACTTGAAGGGTGTACTGGACTTCGCGCACAAGTTGCTGAACTATTTTTCGGTCTCAGTGCACCCCACCGCAATGCAGCAAGGGGCAGTCAACGCATGCCCCCCTGAGACATGTGGGATGACTGAGACCCCGATAGTCAGTCTTTGTTGGAGTCCCAGCCCACTCCATCGCAATACGAAGGCACTCAGGAGCGCCAGCGCAGACCTATGGAGTGAGCTGGGTTCAAACGAAAAATGTATATATATTATTTTTTTCCCAAAAAAAAAACAACTCGAAAAAAAAAAAAATTTTCGGCAAAAAAAAACTAAAGGAAAATCTATTTACTCTAAACCCCACTTAGCGGACTTATTTTTTCCCCATTCCCGTGCCGACATATCGGACCACTGAACAATTTGGAGGAAAAAAAAAGTTAAACTACAAAAAAACTAAGTGCGTTGAGCACTGCCTCACCGGGTGAATACAAAACTCCGGAGGACGTGACGTGAAGTCTCGGAGAAACCCTCGGTTGCTGACCAAGAGGGCCGATCCGAACCAGCACACTCAGCTCCACTCATCCCGCCGCAACGCAGCAAGGGGCAGCAAACACATGCCCCCCTGGGACTTGCGGGATGGTGAAGCCTCATGTGCCAGTCAGGACCAGTCAACCTGACCAGACCTCAGGCTACCCCGTTGGGCGCCATCTGTTATGGTTCGCATACATGAGAGCAGTAGTGAGTGCAGGCGGCATGACACAATGGGGTGCACTGTGGCTAGACATGTCGGCTGGGCGGGGTTCTTGCCTCACTACTGTTCCCTGCGCCATAGCAGAGAAAAGTCATGCCTGTCAAACATCCCAACGGACAGACACACAACAATTCAAAAATAAAAAAAAACCGTTGGTACAAACAAAAAAGCTGAAAGAAAACGTTAAATTAAATATTTAAAATAAACTGAAAAATCAACAGAAAGCAGAATCCAAACTAAAACTGAAATAAGAAATGAACCAAAAACACAAAAAAAACTAAGGCCGAATATGAGGCACCACCGCTGGTATTGTGGTGCCGGGTGCTGGCCCACCCTCACCATGGCTACTGGCGCACCCTAATATCAGTAGCCCCATTATTAAAGTCCCTACATGCCTTCTTAAATAACGAAAGAAGTCAGCATTTCCATTTTAATTACACAAAATTTATTTATAAACTTCATCTCCTTAGCCTAATTCTTAAATCTATTTCCTAAAATTAATCATCCTAATGCTAAGTCTCTTAAATCTAAGGTAAGAAAAGGATATAAATTTTCCGAAAGCAAATGGATTTTAGGTAGTAGCAGGTAAGTTGTTTTACTATATATTTAATTCAATTATTATAATTAAGATAAGTATTTAGAGTTGATTTAATCCAAGCTCAGGTAAGTTAAAGGTAAAATATAAGTAAAGGTAAGTATCCTGAGTAATTATAACTAGTAGGAAAATTTAGGGTAAGTACGGTTAAGGTAAGTCAGGTCGGTAAGTCCAGTAGCAAAATCAGGTAGGAAAATCCGGTAAGTATATTACAAAACAATTGAATTGAGTTAAGCAGGTAAGGGTATGTATATTTATAGTAGGTCAGGTAAGTATATTAACAAAAGTTAAATTAAGTAATGCCATAAAGTCATTTAATTTTCTATTTCTTCTTTTCTATCTTTTGGTTGTATAGCGTTTTGGTTTCCGGTTTATATTTTCACGATTTCATTTTAAATTTTTTTATAATTTCGTTATATTAGATTATTGTGGCCATTTTCTTTTATTGTATTTAAGGTTATTTATTTAAAATTGGTTTTATAGCTGAATTTTTGAATTTTTCGTTAAGCTTTTAGTTTAAACTTATTTTTATTTGAAATAAATTTGTAGTTTATTCTATTTTAATTTAGTTCAATTTAAGTTGATTTAATTTCGTTTGAATTTATATTAATCTAATTCTGGTTAAGATTTTATTTGATTTTTTTGTTTCTATTTAATCTGAGTTAATCAATCCTAACTTTTATTTCCCTTATCTGCCTATATATGCATCTAGGTATATACCTGTATAGGTGTGTATATACATATGTATTCCACAGCTAAGAATAAGAAGAAAAAATAAAATTTTTATTCTTAATATTAACTTATTTTTTTTTTGTATATACCTTGTAGCCTACTTTTAATATCTATTTTTTCAAATTCCTATTTTCAGAGGTTTCTTTGTTTTCCAATAATTTTTTTCTTGTTTAGTTTACTTTTAATTTATTGGGTTTTCCAAATTTCTAATTTTAAAGGTATTGTGTTTCTTTCGTCTTTTATTCAACAATTTTTTATTTTATTTTTTTTTTTTTTTTAGCTAATTGTTAATTTCTTCAAAAAAATGTTTTATTCAGGAAAACAAGATTTCTAGGCCCGAAGAACTCACCCTAGTGCTGCAGCAGGCCTTGGTGGGGGCTGCTGTTGTTGTTGTTGCAGGAGTCGTGCGGCGCTATGATAGCCGCGCTGGTTGTTGTTGTTGTTGGTGTTGCGCGCTGCTGTTCTTTGTGTTGAGCGCTGTTGCTGTTGGTATTGCGGGCTGGTGTCCCCGCTGCTGTGGCGGGTGTTGTTATTGCTGGTGTTGCGCAGCGTTATAGTATCCGCGCTGGTTGTTGCTGGTGTTGCGCGTTGTTGTCCCCGCTGCTGTGGCGGGCGTTGTTATTTCCGGTGTTGCGCAGCACTATAGTAGCCACGCTTGTTGTTGTTGTTGTTGGTGTTGCGCACGCGGTTGTTGCTGGTGTTGCGCGCTGTTGTTGTTGGTGTTGAGCGCTGTTGCTGTTGGTGTTGCGCGCTTTGCTGTTGGTGTTGCGCACGCGGTTGTTGCTGGTTTTGCGCGCTGTTGTTGTGCAGCGCTATAGTAGCCGCGCTGGTTGGTGGCGTTGTTGAGGTGGCCGCGCTTTTGGCGGTTAAGACCGTACTCTGGCAGTGCTTCCGCTGTCGCCTCGGTTGCGGGGCGGTTGGTGCGGCCGCGCTTTTGGCGGTGTGTAAATACCGCGCTGTGGCGGTTAAGGCCGCGCTCTTGGCGGTGTTGCTGCTGTGCGTTAGAAACACTATTGCTGTTGTTGTTGCTGTTGCTTCTGCTCTGCGCCCGGTGTTAGAGGGGTAAGGAGACACCTGGAATGTAGAGTCAAAAGCTAGAAGCATAGGCATATTATAATCCTCTCCAGTTGGCTCTTCAGCTGAACCCAATTGTTAGTGGCCGCCATTGTCGTTCATATCGCTTAGTTACGACTTTTCTGGCTGAGTATCACACTTAATTTAGGGTTTACCCAACCGATCGCGACAATTCCACAAAAAAAAATCGAAAGTATCGATAATTCTTCAGTCCGCGTACTGAATAAGAATATACGCAAAAGAATTACAAAAAACAATCAAAATTTATTTTTAGTAAATAAACATATCAAGTGGGTTAATTAAATATATACGTGGTAAATATACGTGTAAGCAAAAGTTCGGTTGGGTATAATTTTATATCAAAGTCAATGGGAATGCTGCCCCCCCTGACATTAGGAAGGCACAATGTAGTCTACGTGGAAAATTAAGGTACAAAAAAAAACACAAAAGTCGCTGTGGTCCAGCACACCCAACCGCAATGCAAAGCCGGCATAATGGAATGCCCCTCCAGACTTGAAGGGTGTACTGGACTTCGCGCACAAGTTGCTGAACTATTTTTCGGTCTCAGTGCACCCCACCGCAATGCAGCAAGGGGCAGTCAACGCATGCCCCCCTGAGACATGTGGGATGACTGAGACCCCGATAGTCAGTCTTTGTTGGAGTCCCAGCCCACTCCATCGCAATACGAAGGCACTCAGGAGCGCCAGCGCAGACCTATGGAGTGAGCTGGGTTCAAACGAAAAATGTATATATATTATTTTTTTCCCAAAAAAAAAACAACTCGAAAAAAAAAAAAATTTTCGGCAAAAAAAAACTAAAGGAAAATCTATTTACTCTAAACCCCACTTAGCGGACTTATTTTTTCCCCATTCCCGTGCCGACATATCGGACCACTGAACAATTTGGAGGAAAAAAAAAGTTAAACTACAAAAAAACTAAGTGCGTTGAGCACTGCCTCACCGGGTGAATACAAAACTCCGGAGGACGTGACGTGAAGTCTCGGAGAAACCCTCGGTTGCTGACCAAGAGGGCCGATCCGAACCAGCACACTCAGCTCCACTCATCCCGCCGCAACGCAGCAAGGGGCAGCAAACACATGCCCCCCTGGGACTTGCGGGATGGTGAAGCCTCATGTGCCAGTCAGGACCAGTCAACCTGACCAGACCTCAGGCTACCCCGTTGGGCGCCATCTGTTATGGTTCGCATACATGAGAGCAGTAGTGAGTGCAGGCGGCATGACACAATGGGGTGCACTGTGGCTAGACATGTCGGCTGGGCGGGGTTCTTGCCTCACTACTGTTCCCTGCGCCATAGCAGAGAAAAGTCATGCCTGTCAAACATCCCAACGGACAGACACACAACAATTCAAAAATAAAAAAAAACCGTTGGTACAAACAAAAAAGCTGAAAGAAAACGTTAAATTAAATATTTAAAATAAACTGAAAAATCAACAGAAAGCAGAATCCAAACTAAAACTGAAATAAGAAATGAACCAAAAACACAAAAAAAACTAAGGCCGAATATGAGGCACCACCGCTGGTATTGTGGTGCCGGGTGCTGGCCCACCCTCACCATGGCTACTGGCGCACCCTAATATCAGTAGCCCCATTATTAAAGTCCCTACATGCCTTCTTAAATAACGAAAGAACTCAGCATTCCCATTTTAATTACACAAAATTTATTTATAAAACTTCATCTCCTTAGCCTATATCTTAAATCTATTTCCTAAAATTAATCATCCTAATGCTAAGTCTCTTAAATCTAAGGTAAGAAAATGATATAAATTTTCCGAAAGCAAATGGATTTTAGGTAGTAGCAGGTAAGTTGTTTTACTATATATTTAATTCAATTAATTATAATTAAGATAAGTATTTAGAGTTGATTTAATCCAAGCTCAGGTAAGTTAAAGGTAAAATATAAGTAAAGGTAAGTATCCTGAGTAATTATAACTAGTAGGAAAATTTAGGGTAAGTACGGTTAAGGTAAGTCAGGTCGGTAAGTCCAGTAGCAAAATCAGGTAGGAAAATCCGGTAAGTATATTACAAAACATTTGAATTGAGTTAAGCAGGTAAGGGTATGTATATTTATAGTAGGTCAGGTAAGTATATTAACAAAAGTTAAATTAAGTAATGCCATAAAGTCATTTCATTTTCTATTTCTTCTTTTCTATCTTTTGGTTGTATAGCGTTTTGGTTTCCGGTTTATATTTTCACGATTTCATTTTAAATTTTTTTATAATTTCGTTATATTAGATTATTGTGGCCATTTTCTTTTATTGTATTTAAGGTTATTTATTTAAAATTGGTTTTATAGCTGAATTTTTGAATTTTTCGTTAAGCTTTTAGTTTAAACTTATTTTTATTTGAAATAAATTTGTAGTTTATTCTATTTTAGTTTAGTTCAATTTAAGTTGATTTAATTTCGTTTGAATTTATATTAATCTAATTCTGGTTAAGATTTTATTTGATTTTTTTGTTTCTATTTAATCTGAGTTAATCAATCCTAACTTTTATTTCCCTTATCTGCCTATATATGCATCTAGGTATATACCTGTATAGGTATGTATATACATATGTATTCCACAGCTAAGAATAAGAAGAAAAAATAAAATTTTTATTCTTAATATTAACTTATTTTTTTTTGTATATACCTTGTAGCCTACTTTTAATTTCTATTTTTTCAAATTCCTATTTTCAGAGGTTTCTTTGTTTTCCAATATTTTTTTTCTTGTTTAGTTTACTTTTAATTTATTGGGTTTTCCAAATTTCTAATTTTAAAGGTATTGTGTTTCTTTCGTCTTTTATTCAACAATTTTTTATTTTATTTTTTTTTTATTAGCTAATTGTTAATTTCTTCAAAAAAATGTTTTATTCAGGAAAACAAGATTTCTAGGCCCGAAGAACTCACCCTAGTGTTGCAGCAGGCCTTGGTGGAGGCCTGCTGTTGTTGTTGTTGCAGGAGTCGTGCGGCGCTATGATAGACGCGCTGGTTGTTGTTGTTGTTGGTGTTGCGCGCTGCTGTTGTTTGTGTTGAGCGCTGTTGCTGTTGGTATTGCGCGCTTTGCTGTTGGTGTTGCGCACGCGGTTGTTGCTGGTGTTGCGCGCTGTTGCTGTTGGTGTTGCGCGCTTTGCTCTTGGTGTTGCGCACGCGGTTGTTGCTGCTGTTGCGCGCTGTTGTTGTTGGTGTTGAGCGCTGTTGCTGTTGGTATTGCGCGCTTTGCTGTTGGTGTTGCGCACGCGGTTGTTGCTGGTGTTGCGCGCTGTTGCTGTTGGTGTTGCGCGCTTTGCTCTTGGTGTTGCGCACGCGGTTGTTGCTGCTGTTGCGCGCTGTTGTTGTTGGTGTTGAGCGCTGTTGCTGTTGGTATTGCGCGCTTTGCTGTTGGTGTTGCGCACGCGGTTGTTGCTGGTGTTGCGCGCTGTTGTTGTGCAGCGCTATAGTAGCCGCGCTGGTTGGTGGCGTTGTTGAGGTGGCCGCGCTTTTGGCGGTTAAGACCGTACTCTGGCAGTGCTTCCGCTGTCGCCTCGGTTGCGGGGCGGTTGGTGCGGCCGCGCTTTTGGCGGTGTGTAAATACCGCGCTGTTGCGGTTAAGGCCGCGCTCTTGGCGGTGTTGCTGCTGTGCGTTAGAAACACTATTGTTGTTGTTGTGGCTGTTGCTTCTCCTCCGCGCCCGGTGTTAGAGGGGTAAGGGGACACCTGGAATGTAGAGTCAAAAGCTAGAAGCATAGGCATATTATAATACTCTCCAGTTGGCTCTTCAGCTGAACCCAATTGTTAGTGGCCGCCATTGTCGTTCATATCGCTTAGTTACGACTTTTCTGGCTGAGTATCACACTTAATTTTGGGTTTAGCTGCATTTGCAACCAGTTCTTACTTATATACGTAGGAGTATTTGGAAAAAGAAATTCACACGGTGCCAAAACTTACCTGACTTGGACTCGTTCGCTCGGTGGTAAGGCTCCAACTGCTGGCCGCTCCTGTGGACGCAGAACCACGCAATTTTGTTACGAAGCTCGGGGACGCACTCCTTGAAACTATTTTGGTTTAATCTTTTTTTTTTACACTAAATTGGAGACCCAAGAATTAGAACTAACGTTGCGGCCTGTCCGCAATTTTCCTCACTTTTATGAAATGAGGCTGCTCTGCCTTGATGTGCTACACTTTCTCGAAACCCAGGCGGCGCGACGGCATCTGATGTTATGTTACATTTTTTTTTCTTCTAACCCAACTACATTATACACTTCCACACCGCAATTCCTTTACGAGTAGTCTCACGTTTCGGGTATCAAATTCGCTGCCTTTTAGCGTATTAAACTTCAATTATGGTCATTATTTGACATCTTATTTACTTGCATTATTAGCATAATTTAAAAGTGATCCACTGAATTATTGCAGATTATAGTTTTGTACAATGTGAAAGTTCTGCCAACTACGATAGGTTACGAAATTGCAATTAAACGAACATTTCCGTATTATACTGGCACTCACAAATTATTTTTGAGTATATTCGTGTAAATTGAAATGTATATAGCTTGGTATAATTACTTTTTTTTGGCGATGTTTTCTATACACTATATTATTATTAAAATGAACTAAACTTTGCTTCACTTGTGTTTTGTTTTTACCCGTTCCGAATGGTATCGGTTGCCGAACAAATATGTAAATGGTTGACTGCAGAGTTGCCAGCGGGTTTTTATACCTTTGCACTGCGGGAAATTAGTTATTCCCGTTGGAAGAATAACGGGCACNATACCAAAATACAAGCCCTGATATATATTGCTCTCTATATTCTAACATTTGTGCTAAGATATAAACTCAATCCTGTGAAGACAGGCAGTACAGACAGCTGTCACAAACTATCACCAGCCTCCGCGGGAAAGCGTTTATTAACCAAAAAAAAGTAGGAAAACAGACCTGCAGGAACCAGTGGCAATCAGCAACACTGTCCGAAAGGA